CCACTCTGAATCTGTGGATCCGACTCCATGGAGCCGGGCTGGCATCGGGGATCGCCGGGCGGCCCGGTCGTTTCATTTTCCTTCCTAGTTCTTCCAAAATTGGAGCCTCGTTTCACAGCTTCTCGATGCTGAGCCAGGTGGTGGAAGTGCGTCGCTCTCAGACTCGTTCGCTCGTTCCTTCGCTCGCCTGCCCGCTGACTGTGCTTCGTTTTCAAGATTGCTCTCTGCAGCCATCTCCCGTTCTCTCACTCACAGTCAGATATTAGGTAGCTGTTTTGCACAATCCAGACGGCCCCTTAGGGCTCGAGGCGGCAGGCTCGGGGCAGCTTCTCGAATGCATCCACCGTCGTCTACTGCGATGTCGATCCGGCCTGACTGACAACCGAAATGAAAGCAGAGCAAAATGGATCATACGGCACAAAGCCGCCTATACTCCCTGTCCCCGACTATTGAATTGGATCCAGAGGGAGAGCTTGGGATCGCGATTTTGATTTGGAAGTCAGGATGGAGAAGATCAGAGATCGGGGCTCTTGAGGCTTCTCCGTGGATATGTCTCAGTCAGGTTCCATTTTTAATTTGAACCATCCATTTGAAGAATAATTCAAACGCGAGAGAATCATACCCTAATCCCGCAGTCGGTAATCGATTCGTCAACGCACGAGACGACGGCGATCTTGCATCGAGGTCTCGCGAACTCCTCCGGAGTTTTGGATCGCAAGCTGTCCAGTTGCGAAACTTCTCCGAGACTACTCCGTTCCAGTGGAGCTGCTGTGTGCAAGACTGTTTGTGTGTACAGCGGCCGACCGGCCGGCGGACGCAGAGCGGAGCAGATGTACGCCATTACCTCTTCGGGGCTCTTTGCTTGGCTTCTTCCGCACTGAGCTCTCCAACTAATTGAGCCGGTGTCCTGTTTATCTGTTTATCTCTCCCCAGTGGCCTCCTTCAACGGTGTTCTTGTTGTAAATGCCTGTCTGCTCTAAGAGCTCCTTCTTCCATCGACCCATAGCGCTCTAGGTCGACCAGGCGTCGTGTTCAAACTCTTGCGGACGGAAGATCTCGCATCCTATTTATGGAAATCCGACGTCTCAGAGTCTCGATGCGGACAGAAAATGGTCCCGACCGAGAACAGGGATTCGAGAGGGTTCTCCGTGCGACCTGTTCACCAAGTCATCTCTCCCCGATTCACTTATCGTGATTCTCCCGTCCCCAGATTTGCGGCGTCGGAATGATTTCATGATATCGGTATGGGGACATCTCAGCGATTAACTCATCGGTACTGAATGAACACAATAACATTCCGATTACGGATTTTGGATGCTGGACCCTGTATATTTGCATTCAGGCATGCAAATCATATGCGAAACCCTGCCGCTCTCTGATCACAGATCTCCGAGAGGGCGACACTGGTGGAGTGTTTCCCACGGAAAGACGTGATAGCCGATGCGCGCATTTCAGGTAAGCAGCGTTTCGTCCTTTTACGTAGTTGCGTCGGTCCATATATGTTCATCCGGTTCTCCTTAGCGCATCAGGTGATACGTATTGACAATCGCGAATCCCGGGCCTTCCACGAGGATTCATTCTTCGTTCACTAAAGAAGCGGAATCCGCGATTCGGCGGGGAACGTTTCTCTCTGCGAGAGCCTCTTTCCTACGGACTCAGACATCGATCATGTCGAAGTCGAGGTGCATCCATCGCAAACCTGTTGCTTCTCGCTTGCCCTCCTTCATTGAGGAGAGGGAAGTCAACGGCAAGGGAAAACTCCTCACGAAGCTCAGGAGTAACTCAGAATTCTCGCTCCGATCGCTTGTTCGCCCGCATAGACGAGTCTGACGGAGTTGCCATGAGTGCTTAGCGTCGTGACCAAGTTACTCTACTCAGGATACGCATGTTCTTTCGGAGTAGTGTTAATATGTGAAATGCGATGTGTTGACACAGAAAAAAATCCCTCAGAGCGGTGTCCTCCGCACGTGACAGCTCCAGTGTGGAAACCCGCATGAATCGAATGATTTTCGCTTCCGCGAGCTCCTTCGAGGGATAAACTTTGGAGGAAGCCTTGCACCCGTCAGAGCTCCATAATGAAGCGAATGTACAGACTGGGATTCCTACAGTGTGTCATCTTGTGCTTGTCGGCCTCATTGAATCTCTGCGAGGGAAGCGTGCGCAAGGAGCATAACAGAGGCGCGAAAAACGCCCATCACCTGTTCAACTTATATCTTAGAGAGGAGGAATCCAAGCGACTTCTCGGTAAGAAAAATCGCACGACGCGTTTTCCAGTCGACGCGATTCGACTATGGGAATTTTCGGTCGCCCGCCGAAAATAATGAGGACGAAAGAGAAATTCGACCATACAGGTCCCCCTCTCCTCTGACGAAGCGATAGAGAAAGACCCCGCAATTCCGACGGAAGTCGATTGAGGTCAACTTAGGGAAGAAATTTCCATCTGTTGAATGAGATCGCGCATGCCCACCGTGTGCGGCCTCTTAAGTGAGTTCGACTCATTTGCATATGGAGCGAAGATTTCGAATAGCAAGCAGATTAGCAGCATAATGCAGACGGACTCCTTCAAAAACTCGGAGTGAGGCTTTCCGTTGTCGTCGACAAGGCCCGGGAAATTGTCTGCTGCTCGCTGGCACCCCGATTTCTCTCCGATTCGGCCCATCTCCTATTGCGACCCCGCTTCCTCCACGTACAATCCCTCGCTCACCCGAATCAAAGCTTATGCGGGTGAGCAGTTCGAGAAGTGACTCATAACTAATCACCTCATTCAAAATCTCCTCAGCCTCTGTCGCTCCAATTCCGTAGGTTCTTTCGTTTGTGGACCAACGGAACTGTTGAGAGCCAGCTCTTTGAGTTCAACACTCGCACCTGGCCATATCAGCCCAGGCCAAGAGCTCGCGATCTGAACGGAGATTTCTCCAAAAGCCATAGGGCAAACTATTGAGATAGATAAAACGCCTCCGGACCCCGCTTTTTTGAGGGCTTATCATCATCCCCCATCGAGATATAGAGCTCATCAGCTCCATTCAGCGGAGTTACAGCACGTGTCCGCGAGTCACGTGATTCGTTGTGACTGCTGCCTCGGACAGGTGAACTTACGCACCGACTGGACTTGGACCCGAATTATTGGAGAATCTCTCAGGAATTTTCTGGTGCGTTCCCGGTCTCTGGGGGGAATTTTGGAATCAGTCCAAGGTGTGACTTGTCGGATTGGGTAACAGTATGTATATGTAGTATAGTATGTAATTCATAATGTTGATTTTTTCCTTGGATATCTGCATGCGGACAGTTTCTTGTATCCTCATTTCGCCTTTCCTGTCGACCGGTCTCCTGCGTATAAACTCGCGAGTCTGAGCTCCCTGTCGCTGTTGCGAAAAACTCCCCATCAGCTCTTAATCATAAGCTTTAACTCCACAAAAATCCTCGATAAGAACCTCGCTGGACTCCCTGTACACAACAGCGTATCCACAAGAGGGAGCTCGTAATTATATACGACCAGCGTAATCCGAATTTTCTCCCCTGCATCTTTTGGAGAATGTTTCCGTCTAGAGGCTTCGACGTCCGAGCGAGCGGGATTTTCCCGCGATGGAGAATTGCATCTCGGAAGGAGGTTGCGTCTTGGGCAGATCTTCTTCTGGGAAAAGGAAGAACGATTCGGAGAGCCGCCGCACGCTTCTGTTGTTGACCTCTGCGATATTATGAGCTCGGTGTCTTGCTGAACGAACGATGTAAACTTCGTGAATTATGGAGAGCAGCGATCCGGGAAGCTTCTCGGAGTTGTATTGCCAAATGCATACTCTGCCCTGAGGCGCGCTTTCTGTTGAGCCGAATCACAGCCGGATCAAGACAACTTGCTCCGCGAAGCGTTAATCTCCTTCTCTCCCTGCTATTGGAGTATTTTCATGCCGCTTCTCTCTGGGGAATGGGCGCCCGCTTGTGTTCCGGACGATAAGCAGCCAATAGAGTTTGCCAAGCACTTGGGGATTCAAATTGAGGATTAATTTTTGAATTTCCACCCGAGCGTCCCGCAGCTTGCCTTGAATGTACTGGTACGCGTTCTACAGCCGGCGGGACGATGACATTCTAACGGCGGCGCGCCGCGGCGACAAAGACGGAGCGAAGCAGGGACTCAGAAGCTCGCGGAGATTTGACGGGGGCCTTTGTCCTTCTTCGTTCCGGTTTCCCCTATTTGTTTACGCAGGTTGCGTAAGGTCAGATTCCGAACGAAGGTGGAATCGGAAAGAGATCTCAAAAACTCGACAGTCGGCGACATGCGCAACCGCACGGAAAGCTCCGTCCGGCCGCGGAAATCGTTGATTATCATCGACGACTTACTTCGAATTCTCGTCGAACGATCTGCGGGATCGAAGCGCGACTCGGCTCTTCTAATATGAACTTAGGGTTCGAAGCTGAGAGGAGTAGTGAATGGAGCGAGCAGAGCTACACCGGAGCGAGTCGACGCCTTCTCCCGTGGAATGAGATGAACGCAGAGGAACGAGACAGATAATAACGGCAACACGGAGCGCGAGCTCCATGAATGGGGACCGTCGGATAGTGTTGAAATGTGTAAGGATCCGACTCCATTGCATGACCGAAGTACTTCAACGGGCATCGCCGGCGCCGAATCTGCTGCCGACGGAACGCCTCAGTGCTTCCTTCGAATGGCCTCAGCTTCCTCTTCGGTTCCGCTCGCCCAGTCCGTTTCCGCCGGCGCGGCTGCCACCGCCGCCAGTGGAGTGTGGATTATTTTTAGAAGAAGGACTTTTTCTCAAGTTCCTTCGTTTTTAGGAAGCCTTACTCCAGGACATTGAGGACAAGTCGGGCGGAACAGAATCTGAAATACGGGCGTCCTATTTATCATCTACGCACTCTTCGGTGTCGGCCCGCTATGCAGGCCTTGTATTTGCAGTCATTGGCGTTTCCCTCCTAACTTTTCGGAGTCTCATCACGGGATGAGTGTAGTGAGCGAAGATCGCGTGCGTCGGAGCCCGCCATTTCTGTATTCCTCGGGAATCTCCTCCCGGGAGATCTGTGGGTTCGGTGGCCCGTTCGAAATATGAATATCCTTAATGATTAATAAGTAACTCATGAATAATTTGCTTATGTTCCCCGACGAGCGAAACGACGTCATTAGCGACGCTTCTGTCCCCGGGTCGATATCGATAACCAATGTGACCCTTAGTTCTGCTATCGCGCATTGAGCTTCGGCTATTCCACTTCCTCGATCGGCCGTCCTACTTGCTCGATCACGGCCGTTTGGGCTCACAAAGCAGTGAATGATCGCACACATTTACGCGGAGAAAGTAGCGGTCGCCGCCGCCGACGACGGCTCGCTCCCAGTTGGACGTCTTGCTCCCTGATACAAGAGCACAACATGTTACTAACCTCGAATGGAATCAAGTCGTCTATCGACTCTCTCTGCAACGACATTCGACTTCCAAGCCCCACAGTCGTCGGCCCATCAGAGAGCTCTGCGTGCCACACATCTCGAGCGATCGCCAAGCCAGAGCTGGGAATAAGTCTTGCGAGTGATATACAAGCAGAACGTGACATTAAAATGATGCTTACAGTTCTCAAATGCGCTTACTCTTGAGCGAGCGGAACGCTGAAAGGCTTGGATGAACCCTTGAGCTTTTGAAGCTCGGAAGTGATCTCAGTCTGAACTCGGCGCGCTCCACATTCGAGAATCCCGAGTCGGGTCAAAGTTCCGCGGAAAGCGAAAGCACTCGCTCGTCGTAGTTCACTAGATGGATTTGTGACAAGTCGTCGTCGCCGTCGTCCTTATGTTGATGTCGACAACGAGAACTCTTTCTCGAGCGAGTTTCTGAAAAGATTTCATTAGGAAGCGAGGCCACCCTTTGAGTTGCAAATATCGTCTATTTCCTCGCCGATGTCTTTTCGAGTCTTACCCGGTTTCTGCGAGCGTGCCGCATATTCGTCCTCTCGACCAGCTGGGCGAACGCACGTCTTTCATAAAAAGCAGCCACGACTCACCTCGCGCGTCTGGAGCGAGACTTACGTAGTACAAATCTTCGCGCCGCCCCTACAGAGGGCGGGGGATTCTACTCGTTTTCCAATTTCCCCACCTCCTCCCCTCAGCTCTGTTCCCGATCCTGGTTTGGATCTTCCCCGTGCGACGACGAGGAACTTCTCGAAGAAGAGAGCCCGGTGAAACAGCAAAGGTGGACGGCGCGATCTTGCTATCGAAGGTCCCGAAGGCTGACGGACGACAGCGATTCGCAGTCGAGAGATCTCCTCCGAGTCTCTCGGAGTACGATTCCGGATATTTTCTCCTTGTTTCTCTAATTTCCCGGCCTAACCAATTTTCCTTTGCGTTGACCTCCAGCTGCCCCAGGAGCGAAACGCGTGGACGTCTCCTGCGATATTCGTCGTCGGTTACTCCGTCGTCGATTTCTTGATCCTTCCTGCACGCTGTTGTCGCCACCCGTCACTCAGGGAGACCCGGGTTCCCCGGACAGTGGTTTCCGTACGAAGAGCGAGTTCCGAACAACAGGAGAAAATCTGGGAGTGCTTGCTCCGGATTGAGGAGAGGGAGCAAGTGGACCTGAAGGTTCTTGCTTCTTCCACGAATTCAGGAGAATCCGTGGAAGAACCCAGAGGTCCCGGGAAGGCACGCCGCGGGTTCTCCATAATCTCCAAGAATATTATCCTAATGGCGGCGCGGGGGTTCCGCTCCCACTCGAAGAAAAGTCTCTGAGCTGCCTTGAGTGCATCTAGCAGCGAGCCCAGATGATTGTCAGCATCTTACGCTTCCTCAGTGATTTTAACGGCCGACGCTTCCAGGAATTATTCACCTTCGAAGGCCGATTCGCATGCGGCTCCGTGAGATTTGCATCGAACCGCAGTGGAAGCACCTGGAGCACCACGGCGTACAAATCTGCTCGGATCCCAAGCCAGTCGCTTCTGGGTTGCAAGAGCCAAGGAAAAGAGTTCAGGTTTCAGAATATTACCGACCAACGTGCGCTGAATTCCTCGCGGGGAGCCGTTTTGCCATCGCCTGTTCTGTGCTCCTTTAGATACATTCTTCGATTGTAATTGAATCATGTATTTTCAAAACATCCTAAGTCCACTCCAGAAAAAAAGACGACGAAGTGAAACCTGTCTGTTGTTTCCCCTACTAGAAGATACCGATCCAGGCTTGTGGGGTCATTTGTGAACGCTCTCCGCGAGGGCTTTGAAAATACATGATTCAATTATTCCGCTTTGATTCGCTCCGAATATACCCA